AAAAAAAAAAAAACGATTATTGTAAGAACTATATCCTCAACCCTTTTTCTTTGCAGTAATTATACCCTTGAAGTTGGGAGCAAATTCCACTGCTTAGAGATTCTTAATTCTGCCATAGAAGAGGCAAGTCTGTCCAACATCTTTTCTGACTCATCAATTCAACAACAACAGAGGAAGTTTATTCCAAATCACAATTCTCTGCCAGCAATATTATCAAGTAACAAAACAAAATAAAAAAAGAAAAAAGAGAATAAATTACACGGTAAGATAGTGATTATGCGTGTGTATTATGTGTGGGTTCCACATGATCGATGACTAAAAAAAATCGACCTCTTTCCTTTCAGATCACTAATCAACTTACTATCACAAAAGAGACTAATCAGTTGATTGCAATGCAAGTGGTTCTTAATGCAGTTCTGTGCATGACATAACATTGCCCACTACATGTCTACAGGGAAAACAAGAGAAACCCCAACATGAAGACACCAGAGGAGATATTCTTGTCCAAAAGAAAAAACACATGAAAATGGTAAGATACGATTCTATCTTATTTCCTGCTTTTACCGCCATTATTAGCAATTCTCTTGGGCCCATTACTCTCCACAAAACAATAACTCTAAAGGCAATTAAAAACACAAGCTAATCCCACCACCACTCAATATCTTTATTCAACAAAGCTTATCATGCACTCAGTTATATACACAGGAGCTACTTTTTCCAGTGGGTGGTGCCATCTTTATCATAAGTCATACCCGCCTGACATGAAAGAAATAACTGCCTTGGTACATTTTGTAACTTTGAGAAAGTATTCAGTGGTATCCTAATCAATGAAAAGTTGATTTCTCCACACTAAAACATTTAATGTGTCGAATTTTTATATGTTGGAGATACTGTTGACATGGTATCCCCCATTAGACAAAAGAAGTTTTCTTGAAACTTCTAAGCAAGATGTAATGAGCAAAAACATATAATCTCTAATAATCTGCACCAAGTTATGATTTTGTTCTCCCTAACCTGATAACTAGGTGAAAAACACTGACCTTTACCGACAGCAGCGTCGATATATATTTTGGGAAAGGTGAGGGCTATAACTTATATATACATATAATTCATCATTAGACATAGAAAAAAGCAGCATCTATAAAGGCACTTCTGGGCATAGAACAGATCTATAGATTACTTATCCTAGAACCATAAAGCAACCAAAGTATGGCAGATTAATTTGTTTAATGGGTGATATGACAAGCTTGTGGGAAACAGGATAGAGAAATTGGAAGGTAATAATGATTTCAAGCATGGATGGAATCATTGTTGGATTGTCAACCTAGAATTTCTTCAGTAAATCTGAATAGAATTTGAGGAGAGAAAAGGGAGGGAGAAAGAAGAAAGTGGGGAATCCCAAGCTTGACAAGAGCAACAGTAAAGATGATATAAGCCTTGTCCCCTGGAACACCAAGCATCGGCAAGTGGGGTCAATGAAATGAAATGACATTAGAAACACAAAAATCAATCTCATTCTCTCCATTTATTTCCCTTTTTTCCTAGTTTGATCAAACTCCTCAAAGAGTAACCTGCAAACATTCTATAAAGCTTCTGTACTCATCCCATTTTCTTTGACACCCCACCCAATTCCGATCTATAAAAAGATGAATTCCCCTAGAGAAGCCATCGAAGGTATACCCACCAACAAACCATACAACAAGTCAAGAGCCGATGATGATGGTAGTAAAGCAATGGAAGAGAAAAATCTAGGAGAGTGGCTGAACCTAAGCCTTGGTGGGAATTCGGTATCAACAAATGGAGACTCTTCTGACTTGCAATCAAGACCAGCGTCCACCAAAGTTTTCTCATGTAACTTCTGCATGAGAAAGTTTTACAGTTCCCAGGCACTAGGCGGCCACCAGAATGCACACAAGAGGCAGAGAGGTGCAGCCAGGACATATCATCCCCACAACATGATGTCAACTATGGGTCTGCCTATCAACACTAACATGGTTCGATCACTAGGTGTTCAAGCTCATTCTCTGGTGCAAAAGACGCACAGAGATGGAACTGCAACTGTAGCAAGATTTAATGATGCTAACACAGGCTTTGGTATGGCATGGATGCCTTTCACACTAGAGGATGCAATGGATTCGATGTGGCCAGGCAGCTTTCGCTTTGATCCACAACAACCAGAAACATCATCTGAATCATCCAAGCTCGACTTAAATCTTAGACTCTAGTTAGGCTATTCTACCTCCCCAAGTATGGCAGTCTCTTCTAGTTTCTTTTCTATGGAAAGAGTCATTGATTTGTTCATCCATCAAGTATAGATAGCTAACTTAGGCAAGAACCTAAAACCTCATGGAGATAAGAGTTCTGGTTCTACCTAATAAGCTAGAAGAAACACTATGAATATCCTTTCAGTGATGCACCACCAAATGTTTATTCCTTTTTCTACTTCTTCCAAGTTGGACAAGGCCCACTGTTTTCATGTTTTTCTCCACTAATTCGATGCCACCGGAAGAGCCACAAAATAATCCTCATTATCAGCTTACTTTTGATCTCTCAATGCCTAAATAATTCCAGGTGCATTATTCCAATGTCACCAAAGCTGCAAAAGGTTTTGGGCATCCTAGTTATACAATGCTGTATTTTTTCCCCCTTTTTGTACAATATTTCATCTGAGATATGTAATAATTATATAAATCATCATGAGATGAGACAGATTGCAAAAATAAGCATATCATATTCACTTCAAGTCTTCAACCTGACTAATTTCAGTGAAAACCATTAACCCTTAATAGAGAAAATTTAATTAGTTTTATATCCTCAAGAAGCTTCCTATCATAATCATACAATTTATGATAATATTGCCCAGTAACGCTGACTTTCTCCCATTCATCCATAGAACTTTGATTAAATACCAAATGAAAGTTCTAGGATTGAAGATCTCAATCACAAGTACATACCTTAACTCTTAAAAACTTGCAATCAGAAAGGGAAATAGATACCTATGGTAATAAATAGGAAAATAAATAGAAACTGAAAGATCATCTGTTCTCTAGAGTCCAAAACCATTCCCACCCCACCAATGCATTACATAAAAAATTTTCTATTCACTTGTAACTCAACAAATTCAATTGGTTACAGTGATCATTTTGTCCTCAACAAAAACAACACCACCTACAGGTATAAGGAAACAATGACCACCAGATGAAATAAATGCAAGAATACAGGTACACGACTAAATGGGGGGTGACTCAGCAAAGAAGATAAGGATGAAGAGAACATTTGAAAATGACTATCACCCGTTAGCCAAAGGGGGAAAAAAAATCATTCTCATCAACAGTCGAACCATTTCCACCCATTAAGTCTTTCCATGGCCACCACTTTTATCTTTATGCATGTTCCATGTGGCATTCTCTTCTTCTGTTCAGACAAACACTTAACTAGAATTAACAGCAGCATTAATTAAGGTCTTAGGTGTCAAAAAATACATGGACAGGTTGGTTCTAATGCTCAAGGTTTAATGTGGAACTTGTTTCACAACATTGGGCCCATTTCGTCCTTGAAAGGTAAATGCCAATTTTATCCAAAAAGAAAGGCAAATGCCATGTGTGTTAGTTTCTTTCCATAGCTTAACTTCATATATTTCTATGGGTGGTCAACTGGTGCAAATCTCTACAGTAACTTGGTTTTGATGATTTGCTAAAAATGAAGCATTAGAGCAGTAGGGGTAGCGGTCCCTGACTCCATGGGATTGCCTAGTTTTGCCAAGCATGCAAGATGTTGTGGATAATTTTTGATAGACCCCTGTTGCTGTCCCATGTCAGTTCTCCTAAAGAGTACCCATTCTTCAATGGATAGGATATACAAAGGCAAATGTAACCTGTCATGGACTGAAGATTGATTCAGAAACATTTCCAAGAAGAGTAACTAACTATGACTCTAGGTCTAGGCCTAACTAGGTTTTCCTATATTTACCTTGTTTCCCACTTAGTTCTCCACAAACAATAGAAATTTGCTATGACCCAAACATGGAAATCCTTTTCTTTACCAGTCCTGAAGTGGAAGTATATAATCGCTTTAAAGATCTGCCTTGTTCCATGGTTCATCTACAAACTTCAAATGCTTTCAGATTCTTCGAACGTGCTGCCTTTTGCAGTAATATTCTCATAGGCATCACTTCTTTTATGCACACAGCATCTATTTCCAGAAGCTCCTTTGGCTTTCAATTCTTCTTCTCTCTATGATTGTCATATTCAATATGGTCAAATAAGAAACTACAACATCTTAAACATTAGTGGTGAATGCTGACTCCTTTTTCTTTCCCATAATGACTCATGAAATATATAGATAGTTAACCAAGAAAAGATGGAACGAAGATATCTGTGAGTGAATAAATCTGCCTGAATGGATTAACATCTTCTATGATTACAACATAAAGACAATTTGAATTAGTTGCACAAAGGGTCAAAGACATTATAGAACCTTACAAATTACTGGAGATTCTAAGCTTTTCAGTCTTATGCATGATGATAGGTAGCCTTTCGCTGATGATGCTTGGGTCAGCATAAGAATTAGAATCAGTAGGATAACCTTTCTGCACCATAATGTATACACCATCAAAAAGTGCAACCACGGTAAAGTCACCACAAAATCCAAGAAATAACTGCTTTCATTCAAAATGACATTCAGAAAGCATGGCTGTATACCAGCACACATGTATGTGTCGATTAAAGAAAAAGAAAGCAGAAATACTGTTGGTGTTGTCAAAATACATCCCCATCCAAAAGTAGAATATTTGCCTAGACGGCTAACTTCCTGATGTTGACAAAATAAATTTGTGAATTTCATTTATAATGTGTTTTGGAATATGAATTTCAGCAGGATGCATCTGAATTTGGATCTTCAGTTTTGAATATTTTGTTTGGTGTTGTCAACAAATAAGCAGATTTAAATTAGTCCAAATACTTCAGCCAAAAAGTATTTAGTCCAAATAAACTGTATTTTATAAAGCTAAAAAGTACATGTATTTTCAAATACTTAATATGTCTATGTATTTCTAAACTTGCATTTCGAAAAATTGATTTGCACCTTCTGAAGTGCATGTTTTTTCTTTTGTATTTCCTATTTGATTCATTTGAATTCTGTTCTACGTAAGTTAGTGTTTTAACTATTATAGAGGATTGAACATCTAAAAATGACCCTAGAATAAAGACTTTTAAAGTTGGTGACTGCCAACTTAGCTAAGCTGTTTTACACTGTATTTCAATTCATGAATCGTGACACCTAAATGAGTTCTTTTCTGCGAATGAAAGGACCATTTTGAATAGGTAGATAAACTTTGTCAATTTGTAGTTCAGTTCCAACAAATTGAAATTTAAACATTTTATCAAGAATGCTGATGGTGGAATCTTCCAAACCAACAGCAAGCAAATTTCAATCTTAACAAGACCCTTTTAATGAAGACAAAATGGAGAAACTTTTTAAAGTAGTAGGAGCTAAAAGGTTGAAATGATCATTGAAACTTAGAATGAGAACACACAGGCAAGCATACACAAAAAACAAACCGAGATTCACACATGAAGGGAAATGAATCATTAACTTACCGCAGACAAAGCTTCAAATGTGGATTCTCTCCAACATCTTTCCCGGATGATGACAGTGTTAGCATTCTTGTCAAAAACACAATGCATTCGAGTGTCTCTTAATCTCATAAGCACTCCATCAACCCTAAGCTGTTAGAAACTAAGTGACTAAATGGAAAAATAAAGCCAGTAAATAGAAACAATAGCGTTCTTATTCATCCTCATGGACCTGTGCTCAGAAACACAGACATTTGAGCCATCAAAGAGGAGGGATTTCAAAGAAATTTCAATAACATAGATTGGTTTAATTAATCCTTTGGAATTTAGAGAAATATGAACCCCCAAGGGGGTAGCTCAATGGTTAAGAGCTTGAGATTCTAAGTTGGAGATCTCAAGTTTGAACCTTGAGTCGGGTGGGGAGGGATTTAGGGAAAGGAGAGGGCTATCCCCTCTTGTATAGCCCATCATTATCAGATGTATCAAAAAAAAAATTTAGAGAAATATGAGACTCACCCAAAATCGTAGGAGAAGAAACCAAGAGCTTGGCATGACTCTCTAGAAAAAGAAAGACAAAAAGAAGAAAAGAAAAGACAGATGATTCATGGCCAAGCTACTTATGTAAAGTACTTAAGAGTTAAGACAGCCCTCAGCAAGCTATTTTGTACAGAAAGAATATCATACAACTCATTAGAGATATAGCACTCACCACTTTGACAGTTAGAAGTGAAACTCCATTGTCTGCCAATTCATCTTCATATAATACCACCTGCAGATTTAATATGATTACTCCTGAAACTGCAACTATATAAATGTCACAAAGGTTGAAAGAAAGACAATACATATGTCTATGAATATACTTGCACATAGAGAAAAGCAACATACATTTGTATGTGTAATATTTATGTAACAGATACATGCAAGTACTTTGACATTTGGCAAGTTAAATCCAAGGAGCTTACCTCATCATAAAAAAGAATAGGTTCTTTTAGTGCCAATGCAACCAGATCAAGCTTCTCCTCACTGTCCTCCCAATGCAGACTAGAGTTTTGTTTGTAAACTTCTCCACTTCCATGCTGGCCGCAATTGACAGGACCAACCATAATATCATTATTTACCAATCATTATCCATGTAAATCGAACAATACAAGAAAAAAAAAAGGTGGACCTTTGTGGTGAATTAATTCCTAGGACAAAACCAAAAGAAAAACTAATTTCTAGGAGAAGTTCAACTAATTTCAGAAAATAACAACACTGAGAACAAAGGAGACCTTTTGCATCCCAAACTAAAAGAAAACCCCATACAAAAGGCATAAAATCCCAATTGAGAAACCAATTTTAAGTAAGTTTAAGAGATAAAGAGGGAACACAAACCTTATCAGAATCTATTTCAATTGCTTCACTTCCAAAATATGGCGTTGTAAATGTATAGTCATAGTCTAGTATCACCTGCTGGGAAGGTTTGCTGCACAATTCAGAAATACACTATGATACTGAGTCAGAGTTTCTTTACGATGATCAGCTGCTGCCAGTGCAAGACTCAAGTTATTCTTTGTTGTGTAACATTTCATGTTGAGTAACTTTTACAGTTGATGTATCAAGGTTGTTTACATAGTTAAGTTTAGGTTATTCTCATAGTCTCTAACAAGTTACATTTCATTACTTGAAAGATTTGCAGTTCATTTACTAACTGTTATTATTTTATTTCTGAAGCCAAGAAAAGAAAAACTATTTTCCTTCCCACTTTTCTCTTTTCTTTTCTTTTCTCTTAGAATTAAGCAAACTACCTTCCTCCTACTTTGGTTGCATTCCGTGTTAAGGAAATATTTATATGCTCTTCACAGGTTAATAGGCTTCTGAAGTTCTGATTAACGAGGTTTTAATATTTACTTCATTGAGGCAAGGCAAACTGCTGCACTTTCACATTCACACTGTCTTGCAATCAGCACTCTCTGCTGTTACAGTAACTTTGAAAGCCCAAAGCAAGAGTTCCTCTGTTTCCAGTCACTAGTGGAAATCCAAAACCCTAGTTCATCTATTAACACCAAACTCCTTTCCTTTCTCCACAACAACAAACTCTAAAAATCCTTACTTAATCACAACCATAAGCTCTAAAAATACTTATTTACCCCAAAACCCTATTTTTCTTAAATCCAAGCCCACCACAATTCACACAGAGGAAGTCCTCAAATTTTGTCCTGAAATGATCCAGCTTGCATCCCAATTTAACTTAAAAACAATTCTCTCATCATATAACAGTTACCACAAAAGTATGAAACGTTAAACCCATTATAATACAGAGATAAGGAGAAAAAATGGTGTTACCTTCTGAATTTCCACTTTGCTGCTGCAGGAACTTCAACTGGCGGCAGACCTTCCTGCTTCCACGCAGCCAGAGCGTCAAATGCATTAAAATGGATTTTGGTGCCACTACCGATGTGTTTGAGAACCAAACAACTATCGCCAAAAACCATCTCCGGCAAATGAGAAGTCTGCAGCTTCTGCTCCCATCTGCAAGGGCATCAAGTTCATTCAGGCGCGCTGAACAGCAGTGCATTGTCGTATAGCTAGAACGAGAGAGAAAGAAAGAGAGAGTACTGTTGGAAGGACGAAGAATTGAGGATAGAATTGTTGCGAGACTCGATCTCCCAACCGTGGATTCGCAATCCTCGCCGGCCATCAGTCAGTAACTCAGCTCCGGCGGCTTTCAGGTCCTTGTCGTCGACTTCCACCTCCATCTTCTCCGATTTCTTCCAGACAGGTGCAGACTTTTCTAATGTTTGAAAATGAATACCTCTAATTTATTAGGAAAAAGTGTTTTTTAAATTCGGATTTTATTAGATTTTACAATAATAATTATATTTAATTAAATAAGAGTTGCAGCTGGCCCTTCGGGACTAATGGCAAAGTCACCGGTGCATTTCCCCCCTTTTCGGGTTGGGTTCGATCCCGCCCTTTGTAATATCTGTTCAAAAAAAAAAAAATAAATAAATAAGAGTTGTTTTTTTAATATTAAAATTAATTTTTTTAATAATTATAATTTTTTAATTTATTATAATTTAAATTATAAGAAGACTTATCAATTTATTATCTTTTAAGAATTTAAAAATGAAGGCCTCTAAATTCCTTAATGCTTTATTTGGCAACTTGAATTCGACAGTGTCTATTTGAATTTAAAGTGCTCAAATTCAATTTTACTGTGTGTTTTTATCTAAATAAAATATAATTAAATTTAGATGAAATACATGTATTTTAACAGAGTAATTCTCAAGAGTAAATACCGTGCATTTCAATTTCACTCTAAAACCCCCAAATTTCAATTTTGAATCGAATTTGGTCTGCACTCTCTTCTCACCGACGACAACAAGCCTTCATCGTCCGCCTTGACTCTACCACTGCTCTCTCACCTTCGCGTCATCGGCCACTCAACCTCTCCTTGATAGTGGGTTCTTGATCGCGCGCATCTACCTGACTTTTCATCATCTCTCTCGATAGATTAGCGCCTCAGGTAATTCCTCTTCCTTCCTCAAATTTTTATTGATTTGCATATGACTACCTCCTAGATTAGCTTTATTTAATTCTGTATTTGGGTCAGAATCCCTTGATTTCATTTCTTACTAAAGAATCTCATCCGCCTTGACTACTTCCTATCGCGATTTTTTTTCTTCTGTTCTGCTTTCGCCTTTCCGTATTCCCCTTGAAAGAAAACCAATTTGGGAAGGAAAACATGGGTGAGAGGTTCATTTCTTCACTTCTTTTCCTCCTTTTGCTTAGTTCTCTATCTGGGTATTTTTATACTTTTTTCTTTTTCAATTTTACATTGTTGAGTTCAAAGTTCTTGCATAGGAGTATTATGAGAAGTAATAAAGGTTATTTCTAAAGATTTTATTTGGGTTTTGTTTTTTTGGTTTCAGTTTTAAGGTTTGCTAGTTTGTTTGAGCTGATTCTGAAGCTTAATTTTGCTGCTTTGGTTTTCTAGGGTTTGGTTAAGCTTTAATTTGAATTGGGTTTGTGTGAAATGTTGGTTGTAAGTATGAATTCTTGGTTTGTGAAGTTAGTACGATGACTGGGTTTCCTAAGAAAAATGACATCTGATTTCTTGGTTTGTGAAATATGGCATAGTTAACAACATGAAGAAAAAAAAAGGCCTAAGCATATTTCAGGATTCTTTGTGGTGGTTGTCTGTGAAAGCCTACCATTGCACATCATTTAAATTAATAATCACGTTCTCTCTCCTTCTGATTTGAAATGTGTGACTTTTTGAGGCATGACTGAGTGTTAGTAAGATATTATAAATTGCAGCGGTGATCAAGTTCAAGTAACTTCCAAAAATTACAAAAATAGTTGGGAACTTTTGTTTTACAAGACAATTTATCTCATTATAATTATCCTTTTCCTTTTTAGCTTTTATTTTTTCATGTACTCTCTTTTGTTAGCTTATGATAAAAGATATTTTGCTTTTTTATAATAATGTAAATCGAACTATTATAGGCAAACATGGTTGATGGTG